GGTCAGCTTTCAAACTTGTGAGGAATGGCACCCCGATATCCCACTTGTTTTTCGCTGACGATCTCATTCTTTATGCCAAAGGTGACTTGCACCATGCTGTCCTCATCGAAGACATCCTTGAGCGCTTTGGATCGAGCTCCAGTCACACTTTTAATAGGCAGAAAACTACAATTTTTTTTCTTTACAAACACTCCCGCCGACCTTCGTGGCGCCATCTGTGATTGAGTTGGTTATAAGGAAGTCTATGATTTAGGTAAATACCTTGGCATTCCTGTTCGTCATTCGAGAGCTACTAAGGATCTTTATAATTTTATTATTGAGAGACTTCAGCAAAATCTTGATAGTTGGTCCACCAAGTATCTATCCTTCACTAGGCGGATCACTCTGGCTAAGCCCGTTCTGTTAAGTATTTTGTCCTACACTATGCAGGCTTGTAAACTCCCGGCTTCTTTATGCGAAAAAATTGAATAAATGGTTCGCCGGTTTATATAGGTCCCAACCCTTCATCTTGCTTTTTATCTTTGGTGAAAACTTTATGTCGGCCGATTTCTCATGGAGGATTGGGAATAAAGAAAATGCGAATTCAAAATTTCGCCTTCCTCTATAAACTTTGTAATGCTCTCGTTAGTTCGCCGAACTCCTTATGGATTTGCCTGCTCCGTGAAAAGTACAAGGTCACCCATATTTGCATGCTCTCGATCAGTTGCGCCAATTGTTCTACCCTCTGGCGATCTCTCGCGAATGTTTGGTCTGGTTTTACCCAACACTTAGCATGGTAGGTGGGAAGTGAGGACTGAACCGACCCCTGGCGTGACCTTTGGCTTCCGAACCTTGGCATCTTGGAGAGTCATCTCATCGCTCCAATGGCTGAGGTTGATCACCTACAACTCTCTCACCTCGCCAACTTCGACGACTCATGGAATTAGGATCTCATTGACATCCTCCTCCCTCCTATGGTTATCCCGCATATTCAAAGCATCCATCCGCCTTCATCCGATGCCGGCTTTGATTGTGTTTATTGGAATGATGATCCCAAAAGGCGTTTCTCGATTAAGTATGCTTACAAAACTATAGACTGCAGTAATTAAGGCGATAAGAGAAGCGTTTGGTCGACCATCTGGAAACAACCAATTCCAGAGCGAATCCATGGCTTTTTATGGCTCGCCATTCAAGCTAAACTATTCACCAATTATGTCCGCTACTTTCGCCAGCTCGTTGTTAATTCATCATGTCTTATTTGTCCCTACCAGCTAGAAACTCTCTTGCACATCCTCCGTGATTGCCCGAGAATTCACGACTTCTGGAGTAGCTTGGTTTTGAGGTTCGACTTTCCTGATTTTTTCGATCTCCCCTTAAGGGCTTGGTTCCTTCAAAACTTGCGTAGCCGTTACTTTGTTTAGGAGATAAATGGGACTTGGAAATATATTTTGCTTGTTTAATTTGGCTTATATGAAAACGACGAAACACTTTCATATTTCAAGGGACTTTGGATGACTTCTCCACTCTCATTCATTCCGGTATTACCTGGTCTTCAATTTACTTTGGCACTTTCTCCGTCGCTGGGATAGCAGGCCAAAGCTCGATTTCATAGATTAAATGGTCTCTAACTACTGAGGGTTGGATTTGTCTTAATACGGATTGTGCCTATTCCACGTCCACCGGTCGAGGTTCCATTGGCGATCTTCTTCGCAACAGTTCTGGCGATTCTTGAGCCGGAGCTTTGGGCCATCCTTGACGGACTTCAAACCGCCTGGCATTATGGCTGCAACCGTCTCTTTGTGCAAACCGATAACATGGATGCTTATCATCTCCTCTCCCCTCCTACCTCGACGAGCCCTTTCGCTCTCGTTCGTGCCATCACAAGCCTCTACAATCGCGCTTGGTAAGTTGAATTCCAAAAGATTAATAGGGAGGCAATTGTCGCTGCCAACTACATTGCGAAGATGAATACTTCTCCAGATGGCTCCCGGATCACTTTTGTACAACCTTCGGCTCCCCTCGAAGTCCTACATAGAGACGTTTTTGGCACCCCTTATGTGCGGCTAACACGTTGATGTAACGGCTACGGCCTCCTTTACCATCCAAAAAAATGACAACGTGAACATGTACAGGGTAAGCTATAAATGCATAATAAAAACATTCTAAATGGATTGGGATTATTCATTAAAAACTTTAGTTGTGTCGTAATCCTGGTCGCCAACTAGAAACCTATCGACGCCTCTGATACTACTGACAGAAGGTTAAGAGAAAAAGAGAAATTATTTCATTTTAAAAAGAAGATCATTTATATATTTTTACGTTAAGAAAAAAATTTTAATTTTTTGTACTTGATATTATTCGAATATTGTATCTTAATGATAAATTATTATTATTATTTAATGTTATATGTATATTAGTCAGGTTTGTCCATTAACAAGTATGTCTTATGACACATCACATGATATCAAGAATTTAAAGGTTTCATACTTTGAAGAAAATCGTTAACCCTAAAAAATTATTTTCCTTATTATACGCGTGTGAAAAAAAAACTCACTTAAAAAAAACCTTAATTTCATATGTTTGGAATTTTTTTATTTTCGGAGAAACAATTATAATGTAATAATTTTTTATATTTTATAATTTTATTTTATTATAAAATAATTTGTGAATCACATTTTTAAAAGTAACACATAATTTCCACATCTTTTAGACGGAACTACAACTATTACGTTGATGTATTGATATAATAATATTGTTTGTATTTGTTAATTTTCTTTACGAAATTGAAGGAAACATGTATATAAGCATGTTTTGAAGTTCCAATTGCATAAAATAATATATAAATAATTTTTTTTTATTATGAGGTGAATATAAGGTAACATCTATTTAAAGATAACTTTTAACTTAAATGCTCATATCCTTGACAATTTTGATATTCGAACTTGAAATATTCAGAAATAACAATAATTTTTTTACCACCGAAATTATTTCATTCGTAAAATATTTATTTATTTATTTATTTATTTCATTAAATTAATCAATTAAATGATTACTTTTATGTATAACCCATATCACATTTATGTATATAAAATAAATTGGGATAAAATGTTTAGTTAGTATATAAATTTAGAATAAATAATATTATATATGTATATATATATATTAAATTTTAAAATTATAATAAATAAAATTTAAAACATGTAAATATAATTTATTTAAAGTTAAAAATATATTTAATAAAAAAAACTAATTTATATATGGTACAAATCTACATACTAGTCTATTATTATATTAGTTTATGTTTTTTAACTATTAATATTTGATAAGTTAATCAATTAAATCATATAAAATATTAAAAAGTAATCGCATAACAATCTTTCTTAATTTATTTCATTCACATTATTAAAATTTAAATCTTTAAACCTTACCGAAGCCCTAACATCTTTCTTCCTCTCTTTTTTCTTATTTACAATTTGTGTCAATTTTATTGATCAATCCAACTTTTTCTTCTTTAATTTTGTTAAATTGGCAGCGGCAACGATTTTGATGCTGGTTTCCGCCCGTCGATTGTCATTTTTCTTTTTCTTTTTTTAGTTTTTTTAATAAGAATACTTATGTCTTTGTGACATGTTACGGGGACATTCGAGACCGCCGAAGAAGCCGCCACCGCATACGATACAACAACTTACATATTGCGGGGATTGTTAGATTTGTCTAGAAATTAAGCTGACAAGTTGGAAATTTCATTTTTGTTGGTGGCCAACTTATTGGAAATTTCATCTTGGTTGGTGGCCAAACTTTGAACATGTGAATTTCATATTTGGTGGCTAACTTGTACACATTGGAAAATTCTTTGGTATGTGGCCAAACTTTGAACATATTGTTCTTGAAACTCAACTAAAAATAGGCCTAAGTATTTCCATTAGAAATCATCCCAAAAACAAGTTATCTCTTCCTCTTGTATTCTTCATTCTCCCACTTTGGGAATTCCAAATAATTCCATTTTGTTGTAATATTGGCGATATAGTGAAGTTATCATCCGGTGTGGTGCCCGAGGAGTAGACGATATTCTCGTCGAACTTCGTAAATTTGGTGTGTTCTCTCCTTTATTGTTTTTTATTCGGTTCTTTTCCATTGTGTTTCAATATTCAATAGTTTGACAGGTTTATCCGCTGTACAACCTTTGGTGGTTTTAATCTTGACATTTTAGATCAATTTTAAAACTACGTTCGTGGGGAAATAACCCGTTTTCCCCAACAGGGATAATATGCACAGCTGAATTTTCCGGAGCTTAGGGATCAAGTGATGGCCAATTCTTTGAAAGGAAACACGGTTGCTCTTCTTGAAACTAAGTTGCGGGCAGTATCACAAAAGTCCGGTCTCGATCCATCGACGACAGCGACGTCAATGCTGGCGGAGAAAGTTTTGGATTTGGAATACGGTGGAAAGTTCGGAGGTTTCATCTTCGGATGTTGATGGTGTACAGTTGAGTAGATTGCCTTCCTTGGACATGGATATGATATGGGATGCTCTTTTGGTATCTGATACATGACATTTTTACCTTGATTTTTCTATTCATTTGAATAGAAAGAAATATATAAATGTTTAATTCGAATCTCGAACTTGCTAAAATGTCATTTTTTTTAAATGATGGTACAAACATTTCAAAGTGTTTTTATTTTTAAAAAAATGAAATGACAGTGTATAATATTTGTGTACGACATATAATAATATGACGAAACTAATATATAGTCGACAGCTTTATATCACCGGAGTCATAACATCGCACCCGGAATTCGTCGGGCGAATCAGTAGTTTACGTGAAGTGCGATCGACAGAAGCTCAGTTCTTTCAAGAACCTGAAGAGCTACCAAGTAGTCAAGATTGGGTTCTACAACAATAAGATGAAACTAACATGTATATATATAAATGCACGTATGTATGCATGTGTGTGTATCCTTTGGGTTCATATTTCCTTAAAATGTAAAAAGTTTCTGCAGACAGCTTTACCTGTGCAATCATGGGGAAGTTATAGTCGAAGCCGTCGGAAGATATAAGCGCCGTCGGAAGATATCAGCATGGTACCAAATGGATCCAACCAATCGAATTATCTAGCTCATCTCGTTTACCGAAAATTGTGAGTACAATTCTCTCCTTTAAATGCTTTTCATCGCTCCTAAAGGAGCACCATGTCCATGTCTCTTCTTTGACATAACCTGAAATCATGCAGCTCGAGCAAGCAATCAAGTTGTTCGATTGACTCAGAGTTATCTTTCTAGCAAGAGATAATGTCTAAATGCCATGGGAAAACAGATTTTATATCTTCTAGAAATCGACATCCACATTAAATTAAAGTACGACAATTGTTCGAAGTCAGATCGACGCATTGGTTAAAAAATCATCCACGTCCCGGATGAGCCCTTGATTAATTTAAGGCATTGTGGACAGGAAAAGGGTCAGGTGTCGGTGACCATTCTGGTTTGTGATGTTACGTAATATGCAAGAAATGCCTACTGCATGAATTAATCATGCAAAACAAAGATGCAGAGAGAAATATACAGCACCTTAGAGGATGGAGAGGGCAAAGATGCCTGTCGCAAAGCCTTCCGGGGTACCGATAATTGTCGTATCTCTCGAAGTTGATTTGCAATGTTTTCATTCATCTGCATCTGAGATTGTTCCCTTTCCTTGGGACCTGCAGGGATGTTAAGCTTTTCTCTTCCTTGATGTATAATCCTTAGCCTTTCTCTAAGCAACCCGACTTCATTGTCGATTTTAAACATTTCGTAATCGAAAGCAGACATGGAGTTTCTACGAGAAATTGGAGGTAAAGATTTGACCCTTGAAGGAGCAATTGGTGGTAGCCCACTAGATCTGTCTGAAGTGTTTCTTTTCCTCCAAGGCTCAGTTTCTGATCCACTGCTGGTTGGATAATCACAGGTTTTAGGTGAGTTTGAGGTGACCGATTTGTTGTCCCTTTTGTTTTCGCTATCTTCATTAATGACATGAACATCGAGAACGTTACGATCAATACCGGAATCCACCAGTGGCCGGATTATCTCTTCACTTACCTGATTAATATTCTTATCCTTGGAAGTCATTCCCTTCTCAAAGGCTTGATAAATCTCATGATAACTTCTTGATGGAACTTCACTGAGTCGTGGAATCGGTAACTCTTTCCCGAAATCGAGGGATCTGTTTGGTGACACGATTGACGCGAACTCACACTTCTCTCCAACAGATTGAGGGATCTGTTCCAACATTAGCAACGGCTCCGCATTTGAAGTCATTTGCTCCTGTGCAGCTGCAGCATCATATATATCAGCATACAGTTGTTCTTTGTCGAAAAACATTTGCTTGTAAGCTTCAACTTCCTTCTCCAAGAAAAGTTTTTCCCTTTCTCTTCTTAATAAAATCTCTTTCAGGATATTCATTTCTTCGTCATCGAACGCGACTTTTTCTTCTATCATCCTCAGATATTGCTTTGCTTCCATTTCAATGGCTGCCTTCTCCTCTTGCAGGCGTAGTATCATCTCCATAGCCTCATCTGCAGCCGTAGAAGCAGCGATTCTCTCCTTCTCGAGCTCCAAGTACAGAGCAGCACGACCGGCATGCTCTTCATCCAGAGCTCGTTCTAAGACCCTAATCACATTTTTGTGACCATCACACTGAGACTCAACCGATGCTAATTCTTTCTTAGCCACAGAAAAAGGGTGATCATCGATTTCAAAACACGAAGAACCTTGCTTAAGCAATCCAAACTCTTTTGAGCTTTCTTTGCCATCTAAATTACATAAAAATGCACATTAGATGGGGTATTAGCATATGAAATGGAAATGCAAGTTAAAAAGCAAATGCATATATCATGTGTATTCCCTTATAGAAACACCTAAACCTTCTTCTGTGGTCATGAATATGGCCATGGCCAGCAGAGCTTCATTTACAACCGTAACGCTATGCTTGCTGCCTATGTTACTCGGATTCAGGTGTGAGGATTGTTGCAGAGTCATACCTCCATAACTATGTCCAAATATGCATCGGATACGGATATTTCAAAGAAAATGAACAATCACAGAAACATTAGATTGTATTCAAAAGGTGCCAAAAATCTAATATTAATGTGATCAATCTTCATCAAGATTTTTGTTGTTAGGACTAGAGTTATCATGGTGTTATTTGTTGAGGTGAATACTAGTATCGTGTGCGGTTTACCCTTCTAATTTAGACGGAGAACTATAGCCCGTAGTTTATAATCAACTACCATTCTAAGCAAACCATTTCTCTTCAAACAACCGACTACGACTCTACATCAAAATCAGAAGAGACGAACCGCCTATTACAGTCGTAACCAAATGCTACCGTCAACAAAGGTGCAAGCCAGTGCCAATTCTAGACATATTTCTATCAATTAAACGATCACGAAGACGAAATTACAACACTAAAAAGAGCAACAAAAACAGATCAAAATGGTAACAACACATACAAAAGATGTAAAGTTTCACAAAAAGGGTCATCATCACCTTCAGAGTTAACAGAATTGGTGCTGGCTGGAGTCCCAAGCTTGCAACCAACACAAGCAGAAGAACGATTCATAAGATCAACTCTAGGCCTTCGATGATAACTCCAAGGCCCCTTATGATTCGACCCAAAGCTCCCATTTTCGACGTTCTTCTTCTCATGCCACGAACTAGAAGACGCTTCTCCTCCATTTCGCCATTTCTCGGAATTCGATTGGCTACTACAATTGCCATCTTCCTCCTCTTCTTCTCCTCCTCCTCCTCCTCGATAAAGGCCGTTCCAGATTGATTCAAAGGGAAACTTTTTCATAGCAGAAGATTGAATGGATGAGATTTTAAGTAATGGGTGGTTAACCAACATGGCTTGCACACAAAGGTTCTCATTTGAGTACCCAAAAATTCCATCACAAGGACAAGGCAAGGACAGTCCAAAGAAACCCAGAATTTTTGAAGCCAAATAAGCAACGGATGATCCACAGAGCAATATATAAGCTATGAAAAGATTAAGGAAAGCACCCAATAGGCCAATGAATGACCATGAATTTATGACCTCGCATGCCATCGATTAAAAATGAGATTGATTATCTCTCTTTTTTTTCTTTTTTCAAAACTGGGTAACTCGCCCTCCCCGAGTTGGTTATTGATCGACTCAATGGAGGTTGATCATTGAGTCGATGAAGAGATCGAGAGGAAGAAATTGGAAGGAGAAAGACAGCAATATTATTTGTCAAGTTCCTATAATTCTCTCTTCCTTTTGATGGAAGTTTATATAGCTTTCGTTTTTGGAGCAAATGCCTATTTAAAAGGTTCGGTTACGTTTTGAGCTAATTAAATTGTGGGTAAAATTACCTCTTGGGTCTCTCAATTTAGAAATTGAAAAGGCTGGTCCAATTTTTTTTATTACAAAAAAGGACTAATATAAATGCTATCAATTTCTAAAATGAATAATTAAAGACTATTGATTATAATCTTAACGTTAAAAATTCATCTTTAACATCTTATAAAATAATTATTTTGATCTCTATTATTCTTTTAGAAGCACTTTGACCTTTAATGTTTTGTTTTGAGATAAAATATCTTCTAATTCGATAAAAAACAAATATTATTTACATGAGACTGTCATCTCTTGAAGTAATGTTGTGACACATGTCACATGTCGAAATCATATATCTAAACTTATGTACCCATATAAACTACGTTGTTCGAACTTAGTCACCGAAAAAGAACAAAATTACTTTAATCACCGGAGCCACTCTAAAGTTTTATTATAAAATAATTTAGATAAAAGAGATGCATTTAATATATTTATGTGATTAAAAAATAGATGTATAAGGATTATAAATTATCTTTGAAAATTATAATAATAAATAATAAAATATTATGATTAGTTTATAAAAATACTATAAAAAATTAGATAAACATAATATTATATTATTGCATCTTCAATTTAAATGAATTTTTATCTCTTTTTGTATAAAATTTTAGAGATGAAATTATATTATTAATAGTAAATATATAAAAAATTAAAATATAAGAAAATTTAAAAATTACCCATATTCAAAATGATGTGCTTTTAGAAATATACACAACATTGATAATACACTTGATCAAAGAGAAAATACACTTAGATTAACAAAATAAAATAACAAGAAGCATTTCTAAGATGGAAATGTCCTGCAAATTAACCAATATTAGGCATCACTCACTCTATTTCTTGCCTAAAACTGTCATCCAAAGGCAAAGGGTCATCATTACCAAACAAGGGCCTTTGCCTCTTCTTTGTAACTCTGGTCTGAGAGACGGGACTTCCGGTCGAAGTCAAGCAGCTCTCGACGGAGCAGTCTCCGAGTCGGGCCGGCATATTGGAAGTGGTAGCATTGTTGTCTAAAGCTGCAGCGAGTTCGGGTAAAAAAGGTAATTTTATGTTATCGAGAGGGGCCATCCCTTGACAATCGTTGGAAACCTTGATTGCCAGTTCGGAAAGCTCTTCTCTGGCAGCTTCGAGACTGGCGGAAGCAGAGGCCTGATCATTCAGAGCTCTGCAGGCCTTCTCGAGTATTGACTGTAGGTATTTGCTTTGTGCTTCTATCCGAAGTTGAAGACGAAGCTGTACCTGCAAAGCGAAAAACCATTAGGTTACGGAAAATGTATCTCAGACAGCAAAGGGTGATCAATATCGGCAGGTAGCTTTCGAAAATTTTCACTTTATTGGCTGGCTTATACATGATACTTAACCGTACAACTATCGTAAAAAGTGAATGTTACCGAAAAGTAAATTATACCGACCTCTATCTGTTCATGTAGTCTTCGTTGCACTTCCATCTGCACCCTAAGAGCTTCCGTAACCTGGTAACCGCTGCATGGAAGATGAACTTCAGCATTAATCCAAAGCGCAAGAGAAAGTAACAAGATTGTGAAACGAGAGATGAAATAACATACTCATTCAACTCTTTAGTTATCATTTTCGACGATGTTATAGATGAACCAGTGTCCTGACTTTCTGCAACACAAGAAACTAAAACACCAACGAAACATCTATCAGTTAACACAATACTGTCTCAATGTCTACCAGTTAACACGAGAATCCTCAGAACGTACACCAAGAACTGCATATAATACATACATGCCAGAAAGGAAAACAATTGAAAAGAGATTAAATGCAAAGAAAGATTGGCAAAATTCGATAATTTGGAGCTCGATCACGACTCATAAGTACACATCAAAGGCATGAACTAAGTTGTAATTTCAAGAGACGAAGAAGCTTACCATCCTTAGAATTTTCGGTTGATTCCTTGCAAGTTTGCTTCCCCAGCCGGTATTTCTGCAAATTGAGGGGATTAAGTAAAAGAAATAGAAAATACGAATTGTTAGATTTTCATGTAGCTTAGGTTGTAAAGCCCCTTCCTTCCAACACAAACACATGAATATATGGATGGTGCACGGTAAACTAACATTAAGCTTAGTAATTACATTCTATGTTGTTCGGACTCTTCATTATTCTTGAAATGCTTGTGTCCCAGACATATTTGATATATTAGGATATGATCCTCCAAGGACCCTCCAAACACATGCAAAATACTTGGAAAATTTTGAACATACTCGTATTCGAAACACACTAGAGTACAAATGACAAGATTCAAATTCAACATAGAAATAGAAGGGGTTAAGACATGACAGCACGAATAACTTCAGCTAATGATCATTAAAGATACGACAATGACTGCAAACCTGAAGATGTGATTTCAAGTGATAGAGAGTAAGGCCTTTTACTCCCATTGTTCTCATGATAGTCTTCGGGGTTGCTTCTGCAATGCATATCAAGAAAAACACAAGTAAGCAAAATCAAGATATATATAACTTTTGAATAACAAAATGCAAGAGCACATAGGACATATCCCAAATATTAACTTGTAATGTCGTTGTCCATTAGCTAGGTTTGGTTCACATAAAATCACTCTGGTGTTCAAATTGACAAGCACATATGATTACCCTGGCTAATTGACTGTATTAAACCATGGCGCAATGTTTATACTTCGAGAAGTCGGAGCACCAATCATCTACATCTTTGGTTGCATAAAAGTCATGCTTGGATGAACACGAAGCCTTATTTGCCTCAGCAATGATAAGCCTCAATTGAACGAAAGGATGCCAGGAGGAACATTTAACAGACTGACACTAGTGGCCTCAGGGTTAGGTGGTTGCCATTTGGCCATCACAAAATCACTCGTAGATTTGTAATTTGTTATTTATATGATTGTATTTTACTACATTGAGACTTGTCCCAAATCACTCACGAAAGCAACTACTTTCGTACTCTTTTCCTCCATTTTGTCATTTTGTGACCTCGCATCCACGAGCATTTTGATTACAATTACAGCACATGGATCAACAATATCATTAGAAATCCACATTAGACAACAAAAAATAAGCTAGCGATCCGCTTAACTTGTGGCATGCTTGAGCATCGCATTGAAGACAGTAACATGTTCAAAGAGAAGGAAAGAACATCATAATAAGATGCTTGTACAATTATTTCTTACACGCAATGTTTAAAAACATAATTAACTTTCTGCACAAACCCTGTCAATTGGCCCCAATTTTAGTCCTTTGGCATAACTTGTACAAGAAGGAAACACTAGTCCCAAGAATATTCTTCCCAGAGCAGGACAAAGTAACCATAGTTGCTCAAGTTTGTCTTCTAACAAAAGTACGCTGATAACAAATGAAAAAATTCATGGTCCCGAAACATTGTTGTCCTTTTGGTTGTATTTTATCGTTCGAAAACACATAGTTGGCGCACAAATTTGAATAATACCAGAGAATTGTATAACCAGAAAGTAGCATTAAAAGATTAAAACGAAAACCAAACCGACCTTGATGAACGAGCTAGTAAATGTCTATGAATTTATGCATAAGAAGAAAGTCCCTTCCTACAAAATCGTAAACTAAGATGTAAAAAGTATAGGGCTGGAATGAGATGAAGTTCGTAGATGTCATGATCGATTTTCAACCGATGTGTAACGGCATCGATAATCAAACATGATTGCAAATCAAAGCTGATATGAAGAACATGGTAACGACATATCTTCATCCAGAAAGTCAAATCAACACTCAATTTAATCACTTCAACTCAGCCAACAATACAAATTACATGCATACACACACACACACATGTAAAAGAGGGCTAAAGTCTCAAAATCAAGGCTAGCACACAGAAAAAAGGAACCCAGAAATGAAAAAAAAATCTCAAAGAAGCCAATGACTAAATCTCATCACTATTACATCACATAAACCAAAGATCTAAAGCAACAAGGGAGAGCGAAAAAGTCGAGAAAAGCCGAACCACATTTTAAGAATTAAAAGCTTCAGAAAGAGAAAATCGACCCATCATTGGAAATTCACTAAAAAAACTTAGAAAACCTCAATAAAAAAAACAATTCATTATTATCCAATCAAATGAAAATAAGCTCAGTATGTAAATATCCCAGAAAAGAAAAACTCACTGTCGGGGCCGCCGAGTTGAGTAACGGCATCGACGAAACGTTCATGGAGCTCAGCAGTCCATCGGA